CCGTGGTTGAGGGGGCGGCTTGGCAGGTGGTTGGGACTGGGGAGGGGTGTGTGGCTGGGCAGGGGCCTGAGAGTCGGGGGGTGAGGGAGGGGGGGGGCTGGGCGAGGGGGCTGGGGATTGGCGGGGGATGCGGCTGGATGAGGCGCTGGGACCGTGGTTGAGGGGGCGGGTTGGCAGGGGGCTGGGACCAGGGAGGGGGTGTGTGGCTGGGCAGGGGCCTGGGATCGGGGGGAAGGAGGGGGTGGCTGGGCAGGGGGCTGGGACCGGGGGGTGAGGGAGGGGGTGGCTGGGTAGGGGGCTGGGACCGGGGGGAGGGGGAAGAGGGGCTGGGCAGGGGGCTGGGATGGGGGGGATGCGGCTGGATGAGGCGCTGGGACCGTGGTCGAGGGGGCGGGTTGGCAGGGGGCTGGGACCGGGGGGAGGGGGAAGAGGGGCTGGGCAGGGGGCTGGGATGGGGGGGGATGCGGCTGGATGAGGCGCTGGGACCGTGGTTGAGGGGGCGGGTTGGCAGGTGGTTGGGACCGGGGGTGGGGGCACAGCTGCTGGGGCGCACAGGCCTTGCCACGCTGTCTCTCCCCCCAGAGGTGGAGCGGCCCGGAGAAGCTGCTGGCCCTGGACGAGCTCATCGACCGCTGCGAGCCCTCCCAGATCAAGTACATGATGCAGGTGATCGAGCCGCAGTTCCAGAGAGACTTCATCTCCCTGCTGCCCAAGGAGGTGAGTGGGGCGAGGGAGGGGCCAGCCTGGGGGCAGCGCAGGAGCCACTGGCCCTGTGGGGGCCTTCGGCCCAGTGACGCCCCTGACCTGCCCCGCCCCCTGTGTGCAGCTGGCGCTCTACGTCCTGTCCTTCCTGGAGCCCCGGGACCTGCTCCGCGCCGCCCAGACCTGCCGCTACTGGAGGGTCCTGGCTGAGGACAACTTACTGTGGAGGGAGAAGTGCCGGGACGAAGGTAGGAGCTCCGCCCCCTTCCAGGCCCCACCCCCCCCGCCGAGCCACTCCCTCTCCCTGCAGGAGGCAAAGCGGGTCTGGGCCCTACAGGCTCCTGGCACCCACTCCTGCAGGAGCCGCCCCTGCCCTGAGGCTCCCAACCTGGCCCCCTCTGCTGCCTGCCCTGGCTCCCTGGTGCCCTGGTCTCCTGCCTGAGAGGGCAGCGCAGCCCCTGGGGGAGTGCCGCGCCCCTGGGAGTGCTGCGCCCTGCGCCCCTTTGGGAGTCCTGCACAGCCCCTGGGGGAGTGCCGCGCCCCTGGGAGTGCTGCGCCCTGCGCCCCTTTGGGAGTCCTGCACAGCCCCTGGGGGAGTCCCGCGCCCCTGGGAGTGCTGCGCCCCGCGCCCCTTTGGGAGTCCTGCACAGCCCCTGGGGGAGGGCCGCGCCCCTGGGAGTGCCGCGCCCCTTTGGGAGTCCTGCACAGCCCCTGGGGGAGGGCCGCGCCCCTGGGAGTGCCGCGCCCCTGGGAGTGCTGCGCCCCACATCTCGCTGCCGTCCCGCCACAGGCATCGAGGAGCCCCTGAACCTGCGGAAGCGGCGCCTGCTGAGTCCCGGCTTCATGTACAGCCCCTGGAAATTCGCGTTCATGCGGCAGCACAAAATCGACATGAACTGGCGCAGTGGAGACCTCCGAGCTCCCAAGGTGGGTGGGCATAAGCCATCCCCCGGTAGTGCCCCTGCTCAGAGCCCCTCCAGCACGCCCGCCTGCCTCCAATGGGCAGCGTGAACTAGGATCTGTGAGGTGCACAGATTGGATACGGGGAGCGAAAGCAATCCCTGGCCAGGAACAACGGGAGAAAAGAAATCTCGGCCCATGCGTGGCTGGAGCTGGTTGCAGCCGAAGAGAAGGCTTTGAGGAATAGCTCGGTGCCGTCTGTCAGCAGAGCACACTCTCAGTGAGGGAAGGACTGGCTGGCTGGCTGGCTGGCAGTGGGGAATCACCATCCCATGGGGTCAAGTCTCAGGGGGCAGCTGTGTTAGTCTGTATCCACACAAACAACAAGGAGTCCGGTGGCACCTTAAAGACTAACAGATTTATTTGGGCATAAGCTTTCGTGGGTAAAAAACCCACTTCTTCAGATGCACCCCATGGGGTGTTCCTAGTGTGGTGCTGCCCGGCTCGATTCAGCGTTTTCATTGTGATCTGGAAACACGTGTGAAATCACTGCCAGTAAGACATGCGGGTGGCAGAGATGGGCAGAGCTGCAGAGGCGAGCCAGGCAGTCAGGCTGACCTGGCTCTCTTGGGAAGCGGGGCCCGTTCAAAGGAGAGTTTTCATGCAGTTACCTGTCTAGGCCCAGGGAGTGCCGGCTGCCCCTACAGCCTGGGGGCTGTCCTGGAAAGCAGCGGCTGCTCAGAGTCTAGGGATCACAGACACATGCTGGGAGCTCCTTGTGCAACGCTGTGGGCAAGTGCGGCCCTTGCACGCGCGCAGGGAGCAGTGCGCAGGGCCAGGGAGGGGATTTCCCCTCTACATGACACTGATGACACTGACATTGACCACGGCTGGAAGCTGCAGCCAGACAAACTCATTGGAAATAAGGCCCCAGTATCCAACCCTGAGACTAACTCCCACGGCCGTGCTGGATTCCCTGTCTCTCGGCGGCTCGGTGCCGGCCCAGGTCTCTCTGCAGCCATCTTTGGACGCGAGCTGTCAGGGTCTGTGCGGGGGGAGCCGGGGGTGGGGGGTGGTTAGACACGAGCTGTCGGGGTCACTGGGGGGGGGAGCCGGGGGGGGTTAGATACGAGCTGTCGGGGTGAGTGGGGGAGTAGGGGGGGGTTTAGACATGAGCTGTCGGGGTCAGTGTGGGGGGAGCCAAAGGGGGGGGGGGGGTTAAGACACTTCGCCTCCAGCCCGAGGTTATTTCCTTTGGGAGGGGGAGGTCTGGGCTGGCTCCCTCGTTACCAGCTCTTCCCTCCCCAGGTCCTGAAGGGACACGACGACCACGTCATCACCTGCCTGCAGTTCTGTGGCAACCGCATTGTCAGTGGCTCTGACGACAACACGCTGAAGGTCTGGTCAGCCGTCACCGGCGAGGTGAGCCCGGCCCGCAGCCCTGAGCAGGTCCCCCGCTGCTGTTCCTAATGGGGCTGGGGGTGGCCTCAGGCTGTGGGGTTCCCCCCGTAGCTCCCCTGACTCTGTCCTGCTCTCTGCAGTGTGTGCAGACCCTGGTGGGTCACACGGGGGGCGTCTGGTCCTCCCAGATGAGGGACAACATCGTCATCAGCGGCTCCACGGACCGGACGCTGAAGGTGTGGAACGCGGACACGGGCGAGTGTGTGCACACGCTGTACGGACACACGTCCACCGTGCGCTGCATGCACCTGCACGGGAGCAGGTAACCCTGGGGGCGGGGCGCAGGGCCGGTGGGGGCCGGGGGAGTGACCCATCCCAGGTGGGGCTGCTGGGCCTGGGGGAAGCAGTGGGCGTGGCTGGGCTCCTGCTGCCACTCAGCGTGCCTGTGCTCTGCAGGGTGGTGAGCGGCTCGCGGGACGCCACACTGCGCCTCTGGGACATCGAGACCGGGCAGTGTCTGCACGTGCTGATGGGGCACGTGGCCGCCGTGCGCTGTGTCCAGTACGACGGGCACAAAGTGGTGAGCGGGGCCTACGACTACACGGTGAAGGTGTGGGACCCGGAGAGCGAGAGCTGCATCCACACACTGCAGGGCCACACCAACCGCGTCTACTCCCTGCAGGTGAGAACCTGCCCAGGCCCCACCCCCTGCCCAGGCCCCGTCCCTAGGTGAGACCCTGCCCCCTGCCCAGGCCCCGCCCCTGGCGAGACCCCTCCCCAGGCCCCGCCCCCAGTGAGACCCTGCCCCCAGGCGAGAACGCTCCCTCTCACACCAGCTGGGTGTGCTCCCTGCAGGATGCACATGCAGGATGTGCCACGCCCTCCCAGGGTTGCCTGGGCCGTGCCTGCTGGAGGGGCAGCACTTGGGGGCGTGCCCATGGCTGAGTCTGTCTCTCTCCGGGCAGTTTGACGGGACGCACATCGTGAGTGGCTCCCTGGACACGTCGATCCGGGTGTGGGACATGGAGAGTGGTAACTGCCTGCACACACTGATGGGGCACCAGTCGCTCACCAGTGGCATGGAGCTGCGGGACAACATCCTGGTCTCGGGCAATGCAGATTCTACCGTCAAGATCTGGGACATCAAGACAGGCCAGTGCCTGCAGACGCTGCAGGGTAAGTGGGGTGGGGGCCAGCCCTGTACTCAGCCAGCATGTGGGCGACTCTCTGCTGGGGGGTGATTCAGACCCAGGCAGCGGGGGGCAGTTAGGCTCCCTGTGTGAGCCCCCCGCTAGGCCCGGGACAGTGCAGCAGGCGTTAATCGTGCGTTTCCCCAGGGCCCAGCAAGCACCAGAGTGCCGTCACCTGCCTCCAGTTCAGCTCCAAGTTCGTGGTGACCAGCTCGGACGACGGCACCGTCAAGCTGTGGGACCTCAAGACGGGCGAGTTTGTGCGGAACCTGGTGGCCCTGGAGAGTGGGGGCAGCGGGGGGGTTGTGTGGCGCATTCGCGCCTCCAACACAAAGCTGGTGTGTGCTGTGGGCAGCCGCAACGGCACCGAGGAGACCAAGCTGCTGGTGCTGGACTTCGACGTTGACCTGAAATGAGCCCCAGCCAAGCCGGGATGGGATGGAGGATCCCGCAGGCCGGGCACAACAGCTGGGCTCTGCAGGGCAGGCCCCGGAGCAGGCCTCAGCCCCTCTGCAGGGCTGTAAATACTGGATCCAGCCTGCCTCCGCCTTATTTATATGTGCGAGAGCTCCCGGGCGTGGGACTGGCAGGGAGGGCCCTGCGCACAGCCAGGGGCCTGGACAGAGAGGGACACAGCATGTTTTGTACACACTAATATATCGATCTATTTCTGTACCTGGGGCTGTGTGTGGGGAGCTGCACAAACCGCGCTGCCAAACTGCTGCTCCTGGAGTATCTTGCACTGACGTGACCTTGCCCCCAGGGGGGCCCATGGGGGTCCGGCTGCAGCCTGTTCCTTCGGCAGTCCCAGAGCCGTGCTCTGTGATTCCTGCTGGTCACCCGAGCCCTCGTGCGGCTGCTGTTCCCCCAGGGGCCACGCTGGTCCCGCACACCAGCGCTCTCCTCTGCTTATCCCAGGCCGGGCAGCGTGCTGACAATGTGCACTCGGCGCTGGGCACACAGGGCGGGAGGCATCTTGCAGGGCAGCGCCAGGTGCGTCAGAGCCCGCTGGCTGCTCAAGCGCACGGGCTGCTGAGGCAGGCCCAGGTAGATGGGGCAGCTGTACTGCGGCAGGGCGGCGTTGGGCCTGTGAGCGCGCCAGGCCTCCCGCACAGCCTGCACCCAGACGGGGGGCAGCAGGCAGGGCTGGGCCGAGAGCGTCTCCTGGAGCAGGGCTGAGCGTGTGTCCCACAGGGCGTTGTGCAGCTCCAGGCCGGTCAGGTAGAGCCCGCTCTCGGGCGGGGAGCTGGGCGGGAGCAAGCCGGGCAGCACCTGGAAGAACAGCGTTGGATCAGGGGGGCTGGTGCTGGCACTGGGCAGGGGCCAAGCCCTGCACAGCTGAGGGGCGGCATTACCTGCTGGTCCAGGTGGTAGTGGTCCAGGTCCTGCTTCTCGGCCCGGGCTGCTTCCTGGAGCAGTGCCAGCAGGAGGCGCCGTGGGTACTGGAAGGCAGAGAGGTGATAGCACAGCACAGGCTGGCCAGCCACCGCCCCCAGGTACCCGCACAGCAGCTGGCAGCGACACTGGAGTGTCTGTAGCCAGCTGCTTGGGTCCTGGGGGCCCGTGGGCACGTAGGGCAGCCAAGGGCGGGGGAGGCGTCCCCGCTCCAGTGCCCGCAGGATGGTGGAGCAGCGTGGGGACTGGCAGGGCCGCCCCTGCAGCTGATCCTGAGCACAGCGCAGGTCCCGGCCCACTTGCTGCAGCAGGGCCAGGAAGCTGCCACACTCCTCCAGCAGGAAGCGAAGCAGGGGCCGGGGCTTTGGCCGTGGGCGTCCTCCTGGGAGCCGCCCTCTGGCCCCCACCTCCCAGCCTCGCTGCTGCAGCGTGTCCTGCAGCGCCTGCACCACCTCCAGCCCCTGCTCCACCAGCTGCCCCAAGGCCTCCTGCTGGGTGCTCGGCGGGGGGCTTGGCTGCCAGAAGTCCTGGGACCGCAGCAGGTCTGCGAGCAGGCTCCGGCTCTGGCTCTCCAACAGCTGCTGCTGTAGCCCCTCGTACAGCCCACAGGAGGCTGGGTCTGCTGGGGCCGGGAGCTGCTGCATGCGAGCCCGGGTGTCTGCGATCACGTCCTCCTCCGACAGAGCTGGGGGCAGAAAGCTCCGGTCAGTCACAGCCCCCTTCGTCCCCCCAGGGCCCGTGTCCCTACTCCTCCAGCCCCAGCCCCCTTCTCTGTCCTCTGGGGGCATGCAGCGCCATCACGGGCTCCCTGCACCCCTGGGGGGCAGATGGCAGCCGGGGCACTTCCCTACCCAAGTTGGAGCCTCTGATGAGGGCAGTGAGGAGGGTCTTCACCCCCCGGGGGGGCAGCAGGTGTGAGGCACTGCCCAAGCACTGCTGGCTCAAGCTCTGCACAGCCCCTGCGTCCCCAGCATCCAGGATGTAACCGCCGTAGAGAATCGACCCTGAAACAGCAAGGAACCGTCACGGGCTGGGCGAGGCCAGGGGCGGGTCCAGCTTCTGCCCCAAGTGTTTCTGGGAGGCAGGATGGGCTCTGGCCACCTCCCTACCTGCCAGCTCCTGCATGGCCTCCTCAGGGTTGGACACCGCCTTGGCCAGCCGCTCCTGCAGCCGCAGGCCCGTGAACAGCTCCGCCTCGCTCCTAGGGGAACAGCAGCAGGCGCTGAGACCCTGGGGCAGCTGGGGAAATGTAGGCGCCAGGAGACGGGGCGGGGGCGGCCTGGCCGCACTCACCAGGGGTAGAGCCGGGCCTGGGCCAGGCGGCCGTAGTGCTGGCGGTGCAGCAGCACGGCGTGCAGCACCAGCAGGGCCAGCCCTCGCTCCGGGCCGGCGTCCCACGCCGGCTGGCCCAGCACCTGGCTGTAGCTGCGCAGAAGGATGCTCTTCAACTCCTGGGGTGTCTCACAGAACAGCGTCACTGCATGGCGGTGCACAGGGCCTGCCGGGTACAGAGGGGCGTCACCCCCACCGCTGCTCCCCCCAGCCTGGGTCACGGGCACTCAGGGCCCCCATATGACGCCCCTTAGGGGCTCGCGGCTGTGCCCTCCTGCAGCCCGGCGCACGCAGGCTCAGGGGCCTGGATCAGGGGTGGCTTGGGCTTAGCCTCACCCCGCCTGGCGTGCTCCCCTGTGGGGAAGGGGCACCATGTGCCGGGGGAGGCAGGCTCAGGTCGCAGACGCAGGACGGTACCAACGCACCTGGCACAGGCCCCGTGGCACCAGCTGCAGCGATGAGCCAGAGGCGGAACTTGGGATGGATCTCGTCCCCTTTCACGTCTGACAGCTGCGGCTCCGGGGCCTTCCCCGCCCCTGCAGTAAGAGACCAAGGCACAGAAATCCTCACGCCGCAGCTGGGGGGAGAGTCTGCTCACAGGAGAGGGATGGGGCAGCCCTGGGAGGTGGCTGGAGGGAGATGTGGGGGTGTGAGGGGCAGGGATGGGGGGGGTGCAGGCCTGGGAGGCGGCTGGAGGGAGCTGTGGGGGGCAGGGGGCAGCCGTGAGGGGCGGGCCTGGGAGGCGGGCCGGGGGGGCAGCCGTGCGGGACAGGCAGGCGGGCGCCTCCCAGGAGCAGCTGGCGCAGGGGGGAGGCAGTGGTGGGACAGCATTGGGGGTTTCGGGGGCGAGGGTCACTCACCTTCGGGGGTGCTCTGTAGCTTGCTGAGCTGCGCGAGCACCTCTGGGTGCCAGCGCTCCTGGAGGTGGCAGTTGTTGAGCACCAGCCAGTGGCCCTGCTTGGGGCAGGTGCCAAGGGCTTCGCCCACGTGGCGCATGCAGCGCGGGGAGCCCAAAGAGACGACGACGACGCCCCGCTGCAGAAGAAGCAGGTTTCACCGGCCTGGCCTCAGGGCCCTGCCCCCGGCCAGGCCCTGGGGGGTGTCAGGCCTGCTTGGGTCAGTCGCCCAGCAGCCAGCCCCCACCGTGCCCCAGTGCCCAGCCCCCTTAGCTGTTCTCTGCCTCCTGGCCCCCCACCTTGCTGCCCCCCCAGGCCACACACGCACCAACCTCCCTCCATGGGGCCTGTGCACCAGGGTGCCCCCCCAGGCCAGCCCACTGCCCTGCTCCCCGGGTGCCGCCCCGGCGGAGGCTGGCATTACGCAGTGCCGTTGCTTGGCCATCTGCCGGATCCAGTGCAGCGGGTGTGTGGCCGCGCCGGGCGAGCCCCAGGGCGGGGTGAGGAAGAGCAGGGGTAGGCGAGTTTGGCTGCAGGTGTAGAGGGTGGCCGCGCTGTAGCTGGCGTCCTCGGCGATGGGGCGGCCGAGCAGGCAGGTGGAGAGGTCATGGAACGTCCTGCACAGCTTCTCGGGGCAGAAGATGCGCCACAGCACGGCCCGCTGGAAGAGACTGAGGTGGGCCTGGCTGGGGCTCAGGGCGGGACCCACCACCGTGGCGGGCAGGCGGAAGTACTCCTGCCACTGGGCAGCCTGCGCAGCCAGGGAGGCCCGCAGGCCCTGGAAGCCAGGCAGGCACTCCAGCAGCCCGCATTCGCGCCAAGCTGCGGGGCGCACCCAGCCCGGCCTTGCCGCCCTGGCCGGCTGCAGCAGCTGCTCCGCTGCGGGCGCCTGCAGCCCCTGGCAGAAGCCCAGCCAGTCCAGCGGGCTGAGCTGGCCGGCCAGGCGGAGGGGCGCCAGGGCCCCCAGGAAGCTGAGGAGCAGGTTGTGCGGCTCCTGCAGGCGGGGCTGAGCGTGGGCCAGCAGCTGGCGGGACAGGCCCTTGCTGAGCTCCACCAGCCGGGCCGCGAGCGCCTCCTGCTTGCAGGCGTCGGCGCGCTTGGTGGCGAGCAGGGCCCTGCGGGCGACGGCCAGGCAGCTGGCCGTGGAGCACTGGTACTGGGGGTGCAGCCGGCACACCTGCTGCAGGGCCTGGTGCAGCGCCGCCCCCAGGCACGCCACCTGCCGGTACTGGGCCCGCACGGCCAGGTGCTGCTGGCGCAGGGAGAGCAGGTGCTGGTGGCTGGCGTGCAGGGCCTCAAGCTGGGTTTGCAGCAGCCGCACAAGGGGCAGGAAGTCGTCCTCCGCCTGGAGCAGGGGGCGCGAGGGCTGTGAGATCAGCTCCAGCAACTCCTCCTGCACAGAGAGCGGGGGGGTCACAGCGCATCGGGGGCTTAGGGGTCACGGGGGGGGTCACAGCGAGTCGGGGGCTCAGGTGTCACGGGGGGCCCGGCGGGGGGCTCAGGTGTCACGGGGGGGTCACAGCGAGTCGGGGGCTCAGGTGTCACGGGGGGCCCGGCGGGGGGCTCAGGTGTCACGGGGAGGGTCACAGCGAGTCGGGGGGCTCAGGGGTCACGGGGGGCTCGAGGTATCATGGGGGGGCGGTCACAGCGAGTCGGGGGGCTCAGGTGTCACGGGGGGCAGGCTGAGCATCAGCCAGGGAGCGATGCCTGTGTGGCTAAGAACACGCTGAGGCTCCTGGCTCCTCCCGCAGGGGCAGGTGGGGCTGGGGCCTCCCGCGGTGCCCCAGGGCAGGGGCAGGTGGGGCTGGGGCTGTCCCGCGGTGCCCCAGGGCAGGGGCAGGTGGGGCTGGGGCTGTCCCATGGTG